GATCATTCAAATAATTATGATAAGAATTTATATATTTCATAAATAGATTTTTCTAAGAATTCATATTTGATTAGAGTCTTTTGTACCGAAATAATTTCTCTAAGATTATATCTATTTTTAAATTAATAGAAAAACGTAGTGATTATATTCAATTAATGTTTGCTTGTTAGAAACAGATTAGAAAATAATGAATCTGATAAATTTAAATGAATATTTCCAATGCGATTAAACATAAGAGAAGTCAAAATGAAGACTTTGAAATTCTATACAGATAAAAAAATAATTAATAATAGCATCAAGGTATATATATATAAACGAGACAAATCATAAATAACTAATGTAAGATTAACACACAAAAAAAAATAACATTGTAAATAATTATTGAATGAAACAAGACACGAATGCTAGTAATCTTATCTATTCATTTTTTTCTTCTTGAATACAGATTATTTACATATTTATAACGACGTGTCGAATCATTTAGTAACTTCTATAATTCGAATGTAACGAGTTGAAAATAGAAGAGGAAAAAGAGATCATGCGAAATAGACGACGAGAGAATGTTTTCATAGATTTTTCGATTAGATATAAAGGCATGCATTAAAGGACATGTGTATTTATTTTATCTCTTTCTATATATCATCATCATCATATATTACATATTCGATTAAACAATTATGATTGGTCATCGAATTATATTCGCTTTCATAGCTTTGTTTTTGTTCTTAGTTATTACTATTTCAACAGCTCCAATTCTTGATAGAACATTGGTAACAGAAATAGTATTCAATCTAACAACTAATGAAACAGTTACAACAACAACTGAACCAATTAATTATGATAATGAAAGTGAATCTAATGAAACATCAATTGAACAAGATATGAATATGACTACATTCCGATATACAAGAACAACTACATCTATTCCAGAAACAGTAACTAGTGGTTTTCTCGTTGGTAATTTTAGTGAAGTATCCGTTAGTATTGATGATCTTATCAAAATAAATGATTCTTTTTTGTCTACGAGTGAAGATGAAGTACCTGCAACACCAATTGAAAGTCCGGAATCTGTTAAATTAAATACAACAAGATATATATAAACATTCGTTTTGATTTTTTTGTCGTTTTTGAACTTAATAAAACTAGATTTGTTTTTTTACAAACAAATACTCTTTTTTTATTTATTTACATTTAATATTTAATCACTTATTTGATTATTTTTTTTTTGACTACAACATAAAATTTGATACAAAGACGAACATCACCGGAAATTGTAAAACAATAAATATATATATATATTAATCAGGTTCTAAAAGTGACATGAAATGATATTGTATACTAGAATTTTTTTCATTATTAGTATTTGCTGTTAATAATTTGTTCATATTCATAGATTCAGTATTTTTATTCACAGTTGATGTTGTTACATCAATAATAATATTATTTGTTGGTGCTGTTGTTGATGAATGTGGTCCAAATTTAAATTGATTATTAAAATAGAGTGTTATAAATGGACATTTACCAAGAATAATCTCAAATAAATCACGTCGAAGACCAAACCACCCTAGAAAAAAAAAGTGTTTTTCTTTTTCTATCGAAATATATATACTTTCTGAAGTTATTTGTGAACGTTAGGTACTACCTTCATGAATTACGTGAGGCTAATATTGATCGAAAACTCTCATGCAACTTCGTAAAAATGACCCATAACTCATCTTACATTATTGAAGCAAAGGCTACTCGGGAGATTTTTAAAACTACTGTATAATGATGACCCTTGTTTATAATAGCAAAGGACGTGAAGTTATTGCCTTGTAAAAATTCACAGTGAGGGAGGAATTTCTAATGATTTATGTGGTTATAGAGTATAGTGTCTGTGCATTATAACAACATAAAAAATTCTTCATATTTCATGCTTCTGTGAGAAGAACTTTGAAAAGTCTGTCGGCAATTTTTTTGCACTCTACTGTATATATAATTACATGGATTGCTATCTGTAGCACCAAATGAAAATGTAAGCCATGCTATTAAAGCAATCCATAATGGAATAGCTATCACAGTGAATGAGATTTTTCCATTTTGTTCATTATCTTCAAGATCAAGTCGATCAGCAAGTAAAATCTATATAAATTAGAAGTGTCATCATAGTTATTACTCTATCTCAAGGATATAAATAATATATTACCGCAAAAATGCTAAATGGAATGAACATGATTGCATAAATAAATGCTTCTGTAATAGTGCTTGATTCACGTTGATTAGTTATTAAACGGCGAGAACAACGATGAATAATAGCAAGAATTAATTTTGAAATGACAAATAATAATGTAATACATAATGATATCCATAATGGAATAAAGACAACCTAAATCGATTAGAATTCACTTAGTTTTTTTCTAGATTTAAGCAAACGAATACATACAACATATCGCCATGTAATTAGATCATCTAAACGAAGTGGAAAAAACAAAAAGAAAAGTCCATTAGCTGATATAAACGCTTGAATCTAAATAAAATCATAATCGAAAATAAAATATTTTACTTCTTTTTTTCTTGACATACGAGAAAATTTCTTTGTACTTTTAATGACCACAAGCATGATAAAAAGGCAAGACATGTACATAGAAATAATGGAATAAAACATACAGTCCAATGAATATCTAGATGATTTTCTAATTTGTCACATGTAAGTATTTCAAATATAAATATAAGTATATGAAGAAAAAAATAAATAATTAATGCTCGACAATCATTATCAGGTGTACGAATGAATCTATAATAAAATTCGAATGTTATTTTTTAGATATTTAAATTATAAAAGAAAAAAGTTTTCACCTATTTCTTTCGCCATTTTTACACCATAAAAAGACACCTGTACAAGCACCAAAAACTACAAGCATTTTCCATATAAATAATGGCAAGAAAACAAGCCAATAACTAATTTTAATATATCCATCAAGTTGTAATGCAAATAAGATTGAAAAGATTAATAAAGAAAAAGTAATAACAAAACGTCTAAATTTAAACAGAAAAAAAATAATAAATTAAATTTTATTTTTTAAAAGAAATTTCTTACGCTGGATTACACGACTGTATATACTTCGAAGTGTCCATCCATTATAGATTCATCTACAATCAAAACAAAAAAAAAGAATTTATTTAGATGCACAATAAAAACATTTAGTTTTTAATCGGGTTCGTGTAATTTTAGGGTATTCGATGGTGATAAAAATACAGTTGTTAATAAATCATTTTCATCATGATCAACTTTTGATTGATCACAAAATGATGGTGATTTTTTACGGAAAAAAAATCGACGAGTACTTTCGATATTTCGATTTAAATGTCCTGTTGATATGATCGATGGATTTGCTGTTGTTGAAGATATATTATGCGTTGGTAATGATGGAGAATCTGATGTAGTAAAATGATATTCAATATTTGCATAAGTTTCAAATATTGGACATAAATGTAAAAGCCATCCACATGCATCTTGTCGTAGACCAAACCACCCTTTTGAAATGAAAAACAAAATTGATTTTTTTTAAGGCAAACGAAAAGGTTTTTCTTACAATGATTAGGCGGTACTCGACTGCCAAATGACATATAAATGAGTATTATTAATGCAATATACAATGGTAAACACACAACAATAAATGAAAGAGCAATAGAGCGTTCCAAATAGAAGACTAACAGTATCTATATAAATTTAAATATGAAGATTTAATATAAGAATAAGAATTTTTACTTGAAAAATAAGTAAAAATAGAAGTACACATATATGACCAACAGTTGGACTTGTTAAAATTTGACAACATCGTCGATGTAATTGTTGTTGACTCATAGGAACTTGATGATTATCATTTCGATAATAATGTACAAAAGTCCAAATAATACGACCAATACAAAAAATAATAGATATACCCATGACAATCCATAATGGAATAAATACTGCCTAAAACAAGAAAAGAATTTCAGTTTAATCAATAAATTTTTTTTAAAACAAACCGCATAATTCCATGTAAGAATACTATTATCTAATTTAAGAGCAAAAAAAATAAATTGTAGAATATTAACAACAAATAATGCTTGAATCTGGAATAAATGAAATATTTATATAGAAAAGTTTGTTTTGAAAATCTATTTTTTATTTACCTCCCAGGAACGACCATGACGTAATAACCAAACATAAGTAAATACGGATATAATTGATAGAACAATTAATGGTAGAAAACAAACAATCCATGTTAAACGATATTCTGACTCCTTTGGTTGTTCAAGATTATAACATATTAAAATTTCAAAAAGAAATAAAAGAATTGTTTCAATTAAATTTAAAAATAATGCTCGACAATGAATTGGTGAATTACGTTCTCGGCTAAAATTATGAAACAAAAGAAAAATTTAATCATTCATTATTTTTAAGAGAATTTACTTTCTCGGTCGAATACAACAATATGTAAAAATCCCAATAATAGCTCCTAATATTGCCAAGATTTTCCAAATAAATAATGGTAGAAAGACTAACCAATATGGCCAAAGTATAAATAACTGTTCACGAAAAGCATAAAGAATACTGAAGATAAGTAAGCAAAATGAAACAAGAAATTGACTAGCAAAAAAAAAACAAAACATATTTAGTTTAGAAAAAAATATATATATATATATTTACCATGCATTAAATTCTTGCCAAACTGAAACTCTGTTCATCGAATCATTTGATATTGAATAAGATTATTTATAATAAACTACATTATTAACATCGTCAATAATATTGTCTTAGTTTTTATTTTTTTTTTCCTTTTGTCCTTGTTGTTCTTACTAGACTTAATCAGCCATATGTCTTTTTTTACCAATGTAGGAATGTGTAGACATTTTTTTGACTAGATGGCGCTAAGAATTTGCAATCCAATCATTCAACGAATAGTTCGTAATGGAAGCTGAATAGAATTTTTTTCTTAAATCTATACATTTAATAAAATAATTAATTCTTTATATAAATTATCTTTTTATAAATATTATTCTGTAACAGTTCTAAGATTATTGTTCAAAATCGAGTTAAAATAAGCTGAAAGTTCAATATTAAAATATAAAATAGCCATTGCATCGTATATATATATTTATCATCAGTCCTTAATTCTATTCTATTACATAGATAGTACCAATCGATAATAACAGATTTTATGCAATAAATAAAACACAATTATTCTAGAATATTGAGTGAAATTTATATACTTTCAACAGATTAGTTTATTTAAATCTTGAGGGTGTGGATAACATTTATCAATTATTAAATTATTCAAGATATCTTTTGATTAAAATTCGTAATGGAATCGTATAGATTGCACAATCTGTAGTTTCTACTCGTACATCATGAGTTACTTACTCAATTTATGAAATCAACAACAGAGTGTTCTGATTACTTTTCTACATATTATTCTTTTTACCGATTTATATAAAAGATCGATTTCTTTCCTTTTTTCTAAATATGTTGTATGACTATTTTTTTTACTATATTCCTTTAAAAATTCAACGGTGAAATTTTTTTCTTGTTTTGACTTTATTAATATTATTCGTTTTTATATTTTTATTTATTTACTTGTTTTCCTATTCATATAACTTTTTATCGTCTGGCCTTTATTTATGGTTCTTTCTATAGTGTTTGAATTATTGATATTTTTTTGTATCATATGAAGTTTCTGAATTTTTTGATTTTTTAGTTTTTGTTTCTTATCTTTTAAATTCTTCTATATTAATTTGATGTACTTGGTGATGTTAAAATTTAAATTTTTTTTATAATGCACAGCCCTGATGAGTGTTTCTATATCAATAAACAACACAAAACACGTCGGAATATCCAACTGTGCATTTTTTCAATTATTATATTTTTTTACTTCAATAACAACACAATCGATTGCTAAAAAGCAGAAGTTGAGAAGAGCAGATTGTATTTGTCTTTCTTCAAGATAGATAAGTCAGTCTATTATTTAAACACTCACACCTACTCACACCCACCCATCCTAACATTTCATATCATACTTTTTCTCTTTTCAAGTCAAACTCACTCTCATCTTCATCTTCAAAATAGTCTATGCTAGCT